TGTGCTTGTGATTGGTATCAGAAGTGGGGTGGAAGCAGTTTTGTAGGACTGAGCCCTTAATTTGTGGGAGCTATGCTAACTCAATGTAGATAGTGTCAGTATTGAATTGAATTAGAGGATACCCAGCTAGTGTCTGCTGCAGAACTGATTGCTTTCTTGGTGTGTAATACAAAACCACACATACATTTGGACACAGAAGTCTTCTGTGTAATTGTTGTGGTTTGGGAGCAGAGGAAAATAAGTTTGTTTTTTCCACAGTTTGTGTTTGTGTTTTTTCCACCCAGAGTGGGGAAAACACTTTCTAAAATGTTAAACATAGAGTTACCAATATGATCCAGTAATTCCATCCCAATGTATGTACCCAAAAGGATTGAAAGCAGAGTCTCAAGCAAGTATGTGTACGCCCATGTTCATAGCAGCATGATTTACAATTCGAAAAGGTAGAAACAGTCCAAATGTTCAGAAATGAATAAATGGATAAGCAAAATTAACATATACATATATGTATACCAAATAGATAGTTAGATAGTAACTATTACAGAACGTTAAAATGGAATAAAATACTGATACTTGTTATGATATGGATGAACCTGGAAAGCATCATGCTAAATTAAAGAAGCCAGACACAAAGGGTTGCATAATGAATGATTCCATTTATATGAAGCATCCAGAATAGGCAAATCCATAGAGATAGTATTTCAGGAATCCAAGAGTAAAACTTTAAAAGCAGTTCAGATAATACATTTATTGAATATATTATCCACTCACACTGAGATTTATATAGAGGAGCCCCTATATGGAGCCTGTTCATGTTATTGGCCAGGTTTCTAGTGCAATTATTTCTCTTCTATCATCTTTCTAAGTTTTCTTTCTATCTTTTAATGTTATGTTCTCTCGTCTACAGGACTTTACTTCAAGTAGCCTCAAAGCTTTTTTAGAAGTGGGTAAGCTAAAGTTATAACTAAAAAGCTAACCAAAAACTCTCTTTACACTTAACAACAAACAAACAAAATTGCTTATTTGACCTGAAATAAAAATTTGATTAAAAAAGCTCACACCTCCATTGTTCTTTTGACTTAACATTCATGTTACCAAGTGTGAAAGGTTCACTAAACTGAATATGGTTTCATTGTCTTTTTCTTCATAAGAAGGTTTTGTTTAGTTGAGCACTTTCTGCTGTGCAAGTTTTATGGTGAGGTGTCCAGCTTTCCCTCCAATCATACTGCCCATTGGTATGTTATGAAACAGTTTATGGCCTTCATTAACTTTGATGATAATAATTAAATGAAGCTGTGAATTATGTCCAGGGACAGCTCTCTGGGGTGTTCCTGATTCAGTTTCCACAGACAATCAAGAGATGATTGGTCTAACTAAGCCAGAGTCCAGAATATTGTGACTTAAATATCTTCTGAAAATAGAAGTCTGTCCATAGAGAAAAAATATAAGAACAGAAACAAATATAAGTCAGTACAGAGAGATCCTTGTGATGAGCACAGAGACTGCAGTAGAGGAAGCTTCAGAGGAGAGGCAGTGCTTCCTCTGGGTGTCAGCCTGATTTGGCGAGGAGGAAATGTCAGTGGCACCTGCTAAACCCTTACAATGAACTGAGCATATAGTGTCTCTTTAGTCCTCACAAAACTCTCATAAAGATGCCGCACTGTGCCCACTGCCCAGAAAAGTGAACAAATGCTTGTTTCCTGGTAAACTTTATGACATAAAGCAGAGGTCCCAGCTATGAGAACTGAAGCTGTGGATATCTTACAGTCCTCAGTTCATACGGATGAAGGGGTATCTGGGCCCATGAGGGACTGTCTGATGGGCCATGGGCCAGGGTCCCCTGAGTCTTCCATTGGAGTCCCATGATTTTATGCCTGATTCTAAGGAAGACAGTGCTGCAAAAAGAAGTAAGAAACAATGGGAAGGCTAGATCACTATGCCCTCCAGAGTATATTCAATGACCGATGTGGAGTCCTCAAAAGAGGCAGCCATGTGGCAGGACAGGGACAGGGGTGGAGGCGTGGGTGCACCATGTTAGCTTCATAGACGTACCACCAGGCATCTCCTAGGGAGGCTAAAGAAGGAGTGGAAAATGGCAAATGTCTTTGTTAGACAAATAGTCCCTCTGAAGCACAGGGAAAATGCTTTCTGGAGAAACTGAGAATTATATGCAGAGGGGCTGAGGGTGAGAGCAAGTCTGTGTCCTGCCTTCATGGAAGGGTCTACATCAGACTTCAGACACCGGTGCTGCCATCACCACAACCCAGGTTTTACTTTGTCTGGTATCATCTGGAAAGCACACAGTGATAAGTAGAACATTATTTTTTGTGCTGTTCTCAACCTCTAGAAAAGGAAGCACAATTGAATTGTAACGAATGCACTCTTAAAGGAATAGACAAGTAGATCAATGCTGTGGAACACAATTCAGAAAGTGACCAGTGAATATTTGGAATTTTAGTATCCGATAAAAGTGGTCTCCAAACGAGAGTGTAATGAAGGGCTACTTACTTAATAAACGATGTTGAAATAATTTGTTATCCCTTTGGCAAAAAGTAAAGTTAGGTCACTTTATCACACCACGAAAACAAAAAGCTAGGCAAATCAAGTGCCTAAACAATAAAAACGTCAGTAAAATAGAGTATATTTCTGACCTTGAGAATAAGAAAGGAATTATTGAGAAACAAAAATGCAAAACTTATACAGTAAAAGATGGCCAAATATAACCATGTTAGGGACATGCATCAAGTTCTCAGAATTGTCCTATTGAAGCTTTTCTTGGTTTGAGCAGAACAAAAATGCGTCATCTCTCACTGCCTCCATGGAGGTGAAGGGCTGACGCTTTCATCAAAACCTCTCTCCACTTAATATCCTTCTCAAAGTCCTTTCAGGTCCTTGACATAGTTCAGGAATTAAGAGTCACATAACTATTTTTGGCCACTTCCATTGGTGCCCTCCATAATGATCTTGTGTTTTACTTTAGAATATAGTGTTTATTATGTTGGGACCTCAGCCAAAGCTAAGATTAAATAGCTATTTTTCATATCTTGGTGTGTGAATGTGTGTGTGTACTGTGTGTGTCTCATGACACTTCAAATTGATAGCAGCAGTAACTCTCAGGCAGAGGAATGAGTGGAGTAGTGGTCAAGAGCAACATTAACTTTATCTGTGTTGTTTGAATTTTTATAGTGACAATATATTCATGTATTACTTGCATAATTAAAAATAAATGAAATTAAATATACTCTAGCCTGTGCTGGGTATGTTTCTGCAACTTAATTTCCATCTGCCAATGAAATAAATCTGAAACCTTTCATTTGGGTTAATGGTCCAACTTAATGTGTCGCTCTGTTGGAAAAAACCCAAATTGCAAGGAGCTTTTCAGGGCTCTGTGCTTTGGATTGCTCTTAAGGTCACAGCGTTTTCTTCTGATATTTGCTTTTTCCAGATATATACTCAGTGTGTAATGTACATTTGTCCTGGTCCTTGGCTGACCTAAAGGAGTAAATGGCAAGGCCAGCAACTTCCTCTTTTGCAAACATGAGAGAATACATAGCTACCTGGTCCATTTCCAGCTGGAATCAAAGTCCAGTAGGTAGAATGTTTATTTGAACAGTGAAATTAAATGGGCTTCTGTTTGTCTTCCCAAAATAAGCTGAATAACCACTTTTGTGACTTGCAGAGAGCATCCTGGGGATATTTTGGCAAAGGGGCAGTCGTGAAATGAAACGAGGTGATAAGTGCAAAATGGATACTGTGACTTTGGCTGGAAGCACGCGAGGCATAGCACTAAAGGCACACATACCAATCTTTCCCAGGCACCTTTCCTCTGCATAGTCTTCCACACTGCAGTAACAATACCTTAGTGGTACCTGGGGAGTGTTTTTTATAAACATTTCAAAGTGCTTCCACACCTTCACTGGCCCATTTTACAGCTATCGAGTGCCCATAGTGGTTGGTTGCAGGGCTGGGAGTAGAAAGAGCTATTTCCTTTGAGAGCCTAGCTTGGGGAGGTAGACACTTCAGCTAGCATTATAGCCTTCTGGAAAGGGCTTTGAGAGAAGGAAATACAGGAGCTAGGGGATAGCAAAGGCAGACATTAGAGGGAGGTGGGACAAGCTGGGTTGCTTTGGGAAAAAAGAGCGGCACAGGCTGAGGCACTGAGGTCTGGAATTGCACCATGGGTTTTGAGAAACGTAGGTAATGAGGCCAGGACATGAGCACAGTGAAGCTTCAGCCACATGGAGGGTCTTGTATGATCATTCATGGAGACTGAACCTGTCGTAAAGGCAAGAACACTTGATGGATTCTAAGCAAGGGAGGGACTGGGATGTATTTGCACTCCAGGGTGAAGCATCAACAGAAAGGAAGCACCACTGGAGGTTAGGAGGCTAGTTATGGAGCTCTGTCAGCAATCTGCACAAATGAGGCTGCTCTAAGACAGAGGTACCCGGAAAGGTGGGAAGAAAATACAATTGAGAGAAATGAAGGAGCTTCTATTGGTGACTTCTTGGATGCTGGAGAGGCATGGAGAAGGGTGTCTGGGTCGCTGTACCCATCCAGGCACCATTCACAAGGTAGTGAGACTAAAAGGAGGATTAGGGTCAGGGGAGAGTTGAAAAGTCTGCTTTTATAATATGTACTTTCCCACACTTTCTACCCAAATTCCAGTGAACTGGGTATGATTGCAGGATGAAGTTCGTCTTCTGGCAAGGAATTTTGGACACTCAATAAATGGACTTATCCAAGGATTCCACCTGGTTATACCAAATATGGGAATATAATGGAGTTTTATTTGCTCTAGCACAGAGTTCCTTTAACTGAACTGTGAAAAGTTGAGTCCCTTTGACTGTACATCTACTCACTGTGCCTTAGAAGGCAGGATATATACCAGATGCTCCTTGGACAGAATTCCTTCCCTTATTCAGCGCATGTTTATGAATGCCTCCTCTGAGCCAGGCATGCTTGAGATACTAGGAATTCAGCTGTGGAAGTTCAACTCTCAAGAAGCTCACATCTAGGGCGTGGAGTTACAGAAATCAGACTGGCACATGATACAGAAGGGACTAGGTGCTATGGAGAGAAGTGAGCCGGGGAGGGGATAGCCTGTGTTGGAGCGGAGGCTACTTCTTTAGAGAGATGAGGGAAGGCCACTCGAATCTGATGCTGAGCAGAGATCAGGGATTTTGTATAAGGGAAGTGAGGGAGTGAGTCATGTGGCCACCTCAGGAGAGCATTCCAGGATAAGAAAACGGCAGGTGCAAAGGCACTGCTGCAGGGAGGTGTTCGATATTTCCAAGGAGTGTGGAGAAGTCCCGTGTGGTGGCTGCAGAGGGAGCAGGGGGAGGATGATGGGAGGTGAGAATAGAGATATCTGAGATACGCCCTCAAGAGCCCTAGAGGCCATGCGAATTGCATGGGACCCACTGGAGGGAGCCATTCCCAGAGCCGTGACAGGTTGGGACCTGCCTGCAAAGGACCACATTCTGGCCGTGGGGAAGGACAGAAGCAGGAGACCAATTTGGAGGCTGGGGCCTGGGGCCTAGGACAGGCATGGTGAGCAGTGGTCAGTTTCTGAATCCATTCTCAGGGTAGACACAATAGGATTGGTGATTGATTGAATATGAGATGTGAGACAAAGACAAACGCCAAGGATGGCTCCAAGGGTTTTTCCTGAACAGCTGCCAGGATGAAGTTGGCATTGATTTAGGTGGAGGAAGAAAGGAGGGAGCAGGTTTGGGAGCTGGAGATAGAGATTCATTTTTGAAAGTGTTAATTTGAGATGTTCAATTAGACACACAGTGGAGATGCCAAATAGACAATTATACAGGAGTCTGGTGCTGAGTGTTGAGGTCTGGGATGGAGACATCACCCTGAGGGTCCTTAGCATTTAAATGCTGTTTAAAACCAGGAGGTTAGATGAGCTCATCAAGGGAGAGAGAAGGGATAGAAGAGGGAGAGGGTCTGAGGACTCAGCCCTGGAGCATAGATAATTAACAGGCAGATGAGGAGAAACTGGGAGAGGAGACTGAGAAGGAACAGCAGGCAAGAGAAAGAGGGCTAAGGGAGAGCCATGACCTACAATCAGGTCAAGAAGCATTTCTACAGGAGAGATTTATGCTGCTGATCTTCCAATAGATCAAGTAGTGTGGAGACCACCGAGACCCAGCCACTGGAGACCATTAGCCTAGAGAGGTCATTGGTGGCCTTGCCAAGCCCTGTTTTGATTCCAGGCTCGGGAGACAGAGTGTAGTCAGAGGAGAGGAATCACAGACAGCCCAGTGCAGACAATAGGCAACTCTTTCAAAGAGTCATCTCATAAAGGTGAGTGGACAATCAGAGGAAACCTGGGGTGGGTAGGGGGCGGGTGGTGGCAGAGTTCATTTAAATGTGTTTGTTTTTTAGTGGGCAATATGACCACATTTTTCATGCTGATAGAATTCATTCTGGAGAGAAAGACACACTGGTGACGTAGGAGTGATACCTTAGATCATTCACATGTTGGACTAATTAGCAGGCACTGCATGTGTTAAGGAAGAGGAATTGGGGTTGTTCAAGAACTCCTGTAAATGGAGATCACCTGGCTAAGGAAGGGGCTGGTAAGAGTGGCTTATAAGCATTCAAAATAAATGTATCGGGGCTGTCCCTCAGGGAATGAGAAAATGTTGGATTCATGCTTTGTACTTTATATTACAGTGAATTCCAGATGTATTAAATTTAAATGCTAAAGGGTAAAATTATAAAGGTTTTGTGGTAAAGCACAGAAGAAATTTTAAATTTTAAAAGCAATCTTGGGGTGTGGAAGACCTTCTGGAGCATGACACGAAAGCAGGGACCCCAAATGAAAATGCTGATAAATTCAACTTCATACAAGTAGAAAAATTCCACATAGTTAAAAATAATCGAAACATTAAAAAATACAGGGGAAATGTCTATAATTCATAAGATCAATAAAGAGCTAATTTCAAAAATATATGAAGCTTTTACAGATCAATAAGATAAAGACAACTTAAAGGGGAAAATGAAAAATGTTCCCAGATAGGCATTATAAAGTGGTATGACTTACATGGAAGACAGTCTGGCAATATCTTTTAAACTTAAAAATGCATATACCTTTTTCCTAGAAATTTCATTATAGATATTTTCTCACAAATAAACTTCTACATGTGTGAAATAATGTTTACCCAGGAATCTTTGTGGCAGGATTGATTGTAATAGCAAAATATTGGAGGAAACCTAAAGGTAATCTCTCAGTAGGAGGCCGGTTTTATTATAAATTATGAGACAGCTATACAAGGGAATACTATGCAGTCATTAAAAAGAACAAGGCAGCTCTTATGTAGTTAGATTTCTGAGATACACTGTGAGAAGAGAGAGATCTAGAATACTTTGTTACATTTTTACAATATATAAAACTGTTGAATCATACTCCACAATTTGTCACAGAAGCAACGTAGGAGTAAAAATAAATACACAGTCATGCCATGCCAAAAGCTGTGAGGTATGTTCCCTGCAGATGAGAACAGTGAGGAATCTCTGAAGCTGGAAGACATAAAGGGAAGGTGGAACACAAAACAGCAAAGCCGAGGACACATGAGCCCTACAGGTGGGAGTAAAACCCTCCTGCAGAACCTCTGATTAATTCCTATCCCAGATTTCAGGGAGGCCCTGGGAGAGAGTAGGTCTTCAATAGGCAATTAACTGAAGACTTATGAGAAAACTGTTCTATTCTTCTGTTTTCAGAGAGGCCAGTGTAGATGTATGATTTAATAGTTAGTCAGGACTAGGGCTCTCTGAATTTAGAGTCCTTAGAGGAATCGAATAGAACTTTCTTAACTGGGTGAAGGTTATTAATCAGTGAGCTACAACAAATATCATATGTACTGATGAGATAACAGAAGCCTTATCATCCATGGGGAATAAACCAAAGGTACACTACCAGTGCTGCTGTTTAATATTGCACTGAGCCCTGCTCAAGGCAGTAAGTCAAGATTTACAAAGATAACAATTAGCTCCAGCCGAGGCAAAAAGAGTGAAACTCTACCTCAAAAAACAAAACAAAACAAAACAAAAACAAAAAATAATTAGATACTGGACAGAGATAACACTCTCATTAATTACAGATTGCTTATGACTACTTAATGAAAGCCTTTTATATTTAGCTACATTAAAAACCCTCTTGTTAGACAGTTCTAGTTAGGGCCAGGCACGGTGGTTCACGCCTGTAATCCCAACACCTTGGGAGGCTGAGGCAGGCGGATCACCTGAGCTCAGAAGTTCAAGACCAACCTGGCTAAACATGATGAAACCCTGTCTCTGCTAAAAATAGAAAAATTAGCCAGCAAGGTGGCACATAACTGTAGTCTCTGCTACTCGGAAGGATGAGGCAGGAGAATTTCTTGAACCTGGGAGGCAGAGGTTGCAGTGAACTGAGCTTGCGCTACTGCACTCCAGCCTGGGTGACAGAGCAAGACTCCATCTCAAAAAAAAGAAGGTTCCCGTTAGTTTTCAGTGGTTTCTTGATTTTTTTTTTCTAAGCAAAAGTACCTGTATACAGTGTTGAAACAAGTTAGAAAATAAAGTTAGATATTAGTACACATCTATTTCTGTTTCTTCTCTTTTCTCTTGCTCTCATTACATACACACTCACAAAGAAAGATGTTGATGGATTTAAGATCTAAATATGAAAGCCAAAACTATGAAACTATTAGGAGAAAATTTAAAAGAATACTTTTATAATCACTATTTTTCTCAGAGGCCACAAGGGAAAAAACTGATCAACTGGCTACAAAAAAAAAATACCAAAAACTTCTGCACCCTAAAACAATCACTAGATTAAAAATGTTTACTTTTTTTAACAAAGTAAAATAACAAGAATAATCAGGGGCATCATTGGGTCAACGTATTGGTTGCAACTGATTAACATCCATAATATAAATTAATAAAATGATAAACAACTGAGTTAAAAATGAACAAAAGGTACAAATAGGCAATTAACAGAAAAAAAGAACAACTATTAATAGTGGTAATTTTGTTCAGCCTCACTGGTAAGCCAGAAAATGTAAATTAATGCTATAAGGCATGAATATATGTGTGTATATATAATATATACGTTATAGATTATATATTATATAACATATTATATATAATGTATATGTATATTATATATAAATGTATATAATCATATGTATTATATATGTATTATATATAAATATATGATCATATGTATAGTATATATTTAGTTATGTAGAAATATATTAGCTATGTAGAATATTATATATAATATATAGATAGTATATATTATATAACATATGTAGATATTATAATATACATATATTATATATGATATACATATATTTATTATACATAGGTATATTTTGAGTTTTATTTTGTTATATAGGTAATAAAATAAAAGTTTATTTTATTATATAGGTAGACTCATGTCATGGGAGTTTGTCGTACATATTATTTCATCACCCAGGTATTAAGCCTGGTACCCACCGAACAGTTATTTTTTTTCTGCTTCTCTCTCTCTTCCCGCCCTCCACCCTAAAGTAGGCCCCTGTGTCTGTTGTTCTCTTCTTTGTTTACATGAGTTCTCATAATTTAGCTCTCACTTATAGGTGATAATATGCAGTATTTGACTTTCTGTTCCTGTGTTAGTTTGCTAAGGATAAAAACATCCAGCTCCATCCATGTTCAAGCAAACACATGATCTTGTTGCTTTTTATGGCTGTGTGGTATTCTGTGGTGTATATGTACCACATTTTCTTAATCCCGTCTGTTATTGAAGAGCATTTAGGTTGATTCCATGTCTTTGCTATTGTGAATAGTGCTGCAATGAACATTTACGTGCATGTGTCTTTATGGTAGAATGATTTATATTCCTCTGGGTATATACCTAGTAGTGGGATTGCTGGGTTGAATAGCAGTTCTGCTTTTAGCTGTGTGGGGAATCGCCATACTGTTTTCCACAATGATTGAACTAATTTATTATACTCCCACCAACAGTGTACAAGTGTTCCCTTTTCTCTGTAACCTTGCCAGCATCTGTTATTTTTGAACTTTTTATTACTAGTCATTCTGACTGGTATAAGAAGCACTGATATTTTTAACAAAAAATTACAGATAAAATGTAACCATCCTTGGTAAAGATGTGGGTAAATGGCTCTTTCACAAATTGTTTGCAGCAGTATAAAATGGTAGGAGCCACTTTGGAAGGAAATTGAAAGTATCAAAGTGTGTTCAACTTGCATATGCCTTTGAGCAAATGATTCTGTTTCTAGAAATGTAACCTATGTGAACATCTACACATGCTTCCCAAAATATATACAAGATATTCATCATTATTAATTGAATAATACAAAATGGAAACAACTTAAGTGTCTATTAATAGAGAATTATCAAATAAATTCTATTTTATTCACACTATGGGAAAGTCCATAGTCTATGCTCTAAAATGCTGTACATACTGCCTCTCAATTCAACTACACTGCCTTTGCATATTCCCAATAATGTGCCTTCTGAAACAGTAATTAATCAACTAATCAATCAGTTAATCCATCCATTCATTCATCCTTGCTTGCCTTAATTTTACAATCATTTATTTGAGTCAACTAGGAACCATGCAGTCTGCTATGTTCTAACAGATATAAAGATTTTTTTTTAAGTCCTCAAAACAAGTCTCAGGTGCATGCATGTTGTAAGAAATTAATGTCACCTATTTCTCCACATCCTCTCCAGCAGCTGTTGTTTCCTGACTTTTATATGAATCGCATTCCTAACTGGCGTGAGATGGTAATCTCTCCTTGTGGTTTTTGATTTGCTTTCTCTGAGGCCAGTGATGATGAGCATTTTTCACTGTGTCTGTTGGCTGTATGAATGTCTCTTTTGAGAAATGTCTGTTCATATCCTTTGCCCTTTTGATGGTGGTTTTGTTTTTTCTGTGTAATTAGTTTGAGTTCTTTGTAAGGTTCTGGATATTAGCCCTTTGTCATGAGAGGAAACATTTTACACTGTTGTGGATTGTAAACTAGTTCACCATTATGGAAAACAGGTATGGCGATTCTCAAGGATCTTACTAGATGTACCATATGACCCAGCCATCCCATTACTGGGTATATACCAAAGGTTTATAAATCATGCTGCTATAAAGACACATGCCACACGTATGTTTATTGCGGGCACTATCACAATAGCAAAGACTTGAATCAACCCAAATGTCCATCAGTGGACAGCTGGATTAAAAATGTGGCACATATACCATGGAATACTATGCCAGCCATAAAAGGGGATGGAGTTTGGTTCTTTGTAGGGACATGGAT